CCCCCCCCCCCCCCCAAATGCTGCTAAAGGGATAGGATAAATATATAAATCAATAAATCCTCCCGTGCTGTAGGGGTACCACGGAGCCACCAGGACGGTAGGAATGCAACTTAATGCAGCACATGTTGCTACATGGTACACAAACAAGGCTGTTGCTAAGCGGGTCATGTGGTCGAGTCCAGAGGTGATCAAATAAAGTGAGGGGCTCACCCCCTTTCAAAAGGAAAGCATAAATAGTGCGGGTGTAAAAGTACGTGAATTCAGATTGACAATCGGAAGGAGTACAGGGACGGGTCCAACACATCTCAGCGTACTTTGTCCCGACTCCTCACCGTCGTTGCATTTTCCTCATTCGGTCCTCATTACCTTCCTCCCTCCGTTCTGCCTTGCTGCTCAAGACGGTCGCCCTCGCTCCCGCCATAGCCGTTTTCCCATAGCCGTCCCTCTCCCTGCATTCTTATCACGCCCGCAAACCGCATATAATCATTCCCGCTTAGAGCGCAAACGAGGCAAGGATGGGCCTAGCGATGGGGACGTCCTCCTCTCCACGTGTCGGCAGGAAGGCAGGCGTAGCTCTTATCGCACGAGCATACCACGTCAGCATGGCAGTTCTGTCACTCTACATTGCCGCACATGCCAGCGCCGCTAGGGATCTTGATTCTTATTCGGCAGACGATTTATGGTTGTTCCCAAACTTCCCATCACCGCTGCCGGATACCGTGAACGGCGTGAAGGACGGGGCGGGGGGGTTTTACTGCTTTACCGGCTTCAAGAGATGCATGAGCGGCATCGAGCAGTGCATCCAATGGGAGCGGGAGTGCGACGGAGTCAAGGACTGCGCTGACGGGTCGGACGAGGGCGATCGATGCAAGTCGTTCGACTGCAACGCTCGGGATCGCTACAAGTGTCCAAGTGGGAGGATGTGCATGAACGTCAGGACAGGCACAGGGGGGCAATGGCGATACAGAGACGTCATCGATCCGTACAATCAGTACTTGTGCGACGGAGTAAAGGACTGTGCGGACGGGTCAGATGAAGACCCCAGCTTCTGCTCTTCCTACGACTGCAACGAGGACATGCCGCACATGCCACTGCGGAACTCGTCGCTGTTTGCAGAGACCTTACTCCCCTACAAGTCTCCTCCGCACAGGCTGCGGTGTCCTGGTGGAAGGGGAGGTTGCCTCGTGGAGAARAAGCTGTGCGATGGTGTCGTGGATTGCGTTGGCGATGGCGGAAGCGACGAGAAGGACGAGTACTGCAAGAAGCGCGGATGCTCGCCTTCTTCTCTCTCCAGCTTGTTTCAATGCGAGAGCGGCAGGTGCATCAACCGCCAGCGTGTGTGCGATGGCAAGAAGGATTGCCCCGACGGCGACGACGAAGGGGAGTTCTGCGAGAAGATGGCCTGTTCCGCGAAGTCTGGGGTTACCTGGGAGTCGTGCGACATSAATCAGGGGATGTGGAAGGACTGTCCGTTCCATGGAAACATTGGAATKAAGTGCCCCGGGAGTAACCGCACGTGCATCGTGGAGAGTCAGCTGTGCGACGGAGTGGAAGATTGCCCCGGGGGAACGGACGAGAAGCAGTGCGAGACGCATACCTGCTCGAACTGGCCGACGAATCTTMAGAAGTGTCCAAGCGGGAGGGAGTGCGCTGCTTTCTTCATGTGCAACGGCGTGAAGGAGTGCCGGGACGGCTCCGACGAGGATCCCAGCCTCTGCCGCGCATACAACTGCTCGTCCGCGCGACATCCGCCGCTATTCAGGTGCAAGGACGGCGTCACTTGCATCAGTGCGGAGCTTGTCTGCGACAGGCAGAAGAACTGCCCGGACAAGTCGGACGAGGATCCCGTCTTCTGTCGGTCGCATCACAACTGCACCTTGGCTAATCGGGCGAAGTGCCCGGGATCCCGGTACGTCTGGTGCACGTTCCCCTGGGATCTGTGCGACGGTGTACGTGGAAGCTGCTACGAGGGCGAGGATGAAAACGCTGCGTTCTGTGCATCCACGGAAGCACGTGAGCTGCTCGCGAAGCACGGGCGCATCGCTTGCCTGAGCAACGACACGCTCTTCGTCCCTGGCAGTTATTGTAACGGGGAAAAGGACTGCAAAGACGGGAGCGACGAGAGGGAGGACTTTTGCCAGGCGTATAGATGCCCGAAATGGACGGTCAAGTGCTACGGCAAGTGGTGCACGAGGGGCAAGCGCTGCGACGGGAAACAAGATTGCCCGGATGGCTCAGACGAGCAGGGTTGCAGCACGTAGGAGGGTTGCAGACGAGAAGGAACGGCAGCCTTTGTGTTCCTTGACGAGAACGAGAGCAAAAGGGAAAATGCCGGAAGCTTGGGACGGAGTCTTCTCTGGACCTGTGATTATTAAGGTCTTAGACGAGGTGTCGAGCGGGAGAAAGAAAAGCAACACGGGAGTTCCTGCGAGTGCTCTGTGTGTGTGTGTGTGTGTGTGTGTGTGTGTGTGTGTGTGTGTGTGTG